GTCGCTACACTAGGCTCCTACAGTATATAATCATATAAAGTTGTGTGCTATCCCATTACCGGCCTGCCTCCTTCCCTTTCAAGGTGAACTTCAATAAGAGGAGCCACATTATTTGGTCTTGGGCTTGCCAAGCATGACTTTCTAGGTATAGGAATTCTGAATGTGTTTATATTAAACAGAATCTAAGTGACTGGTCAGCTATGGGGGGAATTCAGACCCGAGTTATGAACATGTAAATGGAATTTAGCTTCCTTTTAATGCACTTTACTCTCTCTGCGTATTCTGACCGTGAACTTAAGCATGGGGAAACAGCAGCGCCAGCCAGGTACGCATTTCGGGTGGAGAACACAGAAATGAAGGTGTAGCAGAAGTGTGTCTACAGTATTGTATTCTGACCTTGACTTAATTTCCTCATAATTCCACCACCTTTACGCCTGAGGAAACTATGAATAAGGTCGAGCGAACCTGTTGGTTCCAAGTAGGAAAACATTTTCTTACATTTCTTCGATAGAAATAACAGCATTCTCCATGCACTATAATTTATAAATTGAGAAGAGCTATTGAGAAGAGCTAGGTAAATGATTAATCCGTTTGGATAAGGGGATTGTAAATATAGGCTAAATGACAATTGTTTTAGATGTACTGTGTTTTATCTTATGATCACTGGAGATGAATGTGAAACCTGTCACATGGCAGGAAACTGAAAAGCATATCAAAATGACAGATATTTATGCCCCTTTCCCACAGTGAAGAATGAAATGCTGTGCCGTTATGCTGAATTTTTATTGTATGGCCTTGTAACTTGCAGGAATAAAATTTGGAGACGCAAACCAATGGGATGACAATGCAAACAGTTGCGGCAAATTTAACCTTTGTGCTGTCTAGAACGTTTTAATCATATGCCCCGACTTTTCCTGTTTCCTTCCATTTGTTGGCTATACTGTATGTTAAATATTCTTAGCCACTATCAGTAGCGACCGTAAGTAATAACTATGTATACTATATTTAACTGCCAATTTACTGTACATTCCCTTTAGTTGGTAGGCCCTACCCTAAATTCGTATCATTCCATTCCATTGTTTGATTTAGCCTAGCTTTATTTGTTTCCTCTGTATATGCTGTCACTTCCTTGTGGTTGTTGTTGAGGGTCAAGTAATAGTGGATACTATTTAATGAAGGCAAAATACAAATTGTAGTACAAATAAATCAGGACATGTAGGCTTCTTAAATGTTAGTTTAAACAAAAAAACTTGGCACTTGTAATCACACAGCTCCATGATCAGTGCTGGTAATTCGGCTATATTTATTACATTATACTATTGTATACTATTCTCCATATTATTATTATATTGTATACTACTTTCAACATTACCATTGATTAACTGAATGTGACAACTTTCAGAATGAATCAAACCATTCATGATGATTCCCTAAACATAAATCATGTGTAAAATCTGTGTTTTTTAATCTACCCATGGGTTCTGAAACTGAGACAAATATGCATATGCATGGTTGTCTTTCCATATCCTGAACGCATTCTCCATAGTCTACATTGTAGTCTTCTGCCGATCAAATTCAAATGAAAGCTACACAGTTTTTAAAGGGAACGCTTTAGATAAATGAACAGAAAAACTAATTGAACAATAACTCCATGATCAAATTGGTAGGCCACCCAGTGGGTGTGTTTTCTTGGGTTGAATAACATTTATTCAGTGTGCGCAAGGGAGCCTGGCCCGCAAACCTCGTTATACACCTCCATAAGGTAAGTCTGAATACCAACTACTGAGAAGTGCATAGGAAAGGCGTGCGTAGGAAAGGGGTACATTTCCTGAATCGGCCCCTGTGTGACTACATAAACACTCTTAGAATTAGGGGTGTCTCGAGGAACCCTGGAGATCCTCAAGGAACCCTGGAGTTCTTCAAGGAACCATTTGCAGTCAGTGGGTTCATATTTGCAGCTTTTGTTAGTTGAGGGGTTCTTGGAGGGACCTTTAATGTTTCAATGTAGCAAAGGGTATGGAGCATTTTGAAGAATGACAGCTATGATATTTAACTTATATTGTGTGGTTAAATAGATTGTGTTAGCACATGTTTTTCTGTCACGTAATAATATTGAATTCTTAGTTTGTTATATAGTGAAGTGTATATATATATAATATTGATAACAATTATTATAATATTAAAACATTAATATAAAGTATATTTACTATAATAATAATAGTAATAATATCGATAACAGCAATAATATTGAAGTGGCAGCAGCCTATCAGAAGATTGGAGGCCTGGCTTATTGGAGGTGTGGCTTTCAGATAGTTATTTTTGGCCAACCATGAGGGTAAGGGCTTGATTCAATACGTATCACTGAAGTTCAGCCCTATAGCGTGATTGGAATTTAAAGGTAATTTCTGATTGAGCCAACATAGGCAGTGTTTTCAGAGCTACAGATTGAATTGAGCCCTTAATGCCATGCCTGTTCATCTGTTCTGTTGTGTTTTTATAAAACGTTTGAGGTGATTTAAGGAACTCTGGAGATTCTCATGGTGACTATTTCACCCTTTAGTATCACATGCATTTATATAAGCCTTAAACAAGGCTTCAAAACTAGCTATGTACAAGTTTAACCTATAATGATAATACAGCAGAACAGATTAACAGCCATGACATTTACACTCACGGGTGGCCAAAATATATATCTGAAAGCCATGCCTCCAATAAGCCACGCCTCCAATCTTCTGACAGGCTGCTGGACCTACAATATATTAATAAAAGGTTAATAATTAATCCCCTCCCATCACAAAAAGGTTTCTGTTTGAACCTTAACAAAGGGGTTTCTCAAGTAACCTTTTCAGAGAGGTTTCCCCATAGTGGCAACTGTTATGAACCCAAAAGGTTCTTTGAGGCTCCTTTACTTCTTAGAGGCTCTCTCTCTGGTAGTCCATCAGTTTCGACGATGACGACTCGTGCATGTCACTTCGGTTTATTGTAGGTTCTTGAGTGGCTCAGGAGTCCAAGTTTTGAAGCACAGACTGAGGCATGAGGGACAGACGTGCTTCCGCTGGTCTTGTTGGTCCGGTTGTGCGGGAATTACGCTTTGCTCTGGCTGCAGTAAGACGGTTGTTTCTGACCTGCACAAAGTTGTCTACTCCTGTGAGGGTTTTGGAGTGCCAGGTGGATCGGGTAGAGATGATGTCTGTGAGTTGGCTGGGCTGGATATTGCAGAACTCCGATGGACCGGCCACACCATCAGGACACCCCAACACTGTCTCCCAAGAAGGATCTTCTTTGGCGAGCTGGGTCGGCCTGTCTTCCGGTGCCTCTGCTGCAGATCCTTCTTGGGAGACAGTGTTGGGGCATCCTGATGGTGTGGCCGGTCCATCGGAGCTGATCTTAGCCTCAATCCTGGTGCTGTTAGCTTTCTGCAGTACCTCCCAGTTGGAAACCTTGTCTTGCCACCGGATACCCACAATAGATCTCAGAGATCGTGCATGGAAAGTCTCCAGCTGTGTAGGCTACAACTGTAATAAGAGAGGTGGGAGAGGGGGGACAACGACGAACGCCAAACAGAGCATACATCTCATTAATGGGCAGAGGGAACCGGTGTGAGCATGCTGCGACAATGAGCAACTTCCACGACCTCTGGATTCCCTAATGTGTTCCGGTCAAGTGGACATCCGTTGCCTCAACTTTATGGAGTGGAAAGCGGGTTAATGAGATCCCTGTTGCACCGTGTCAGTGTCATTAACGTTTTATTTCAAGTGAACGCACATGGCACGGCCAGGGGTTAAATTGGGCCGGGTCCTGCTGGGTCCAAGACCCAGCACCTATGATCCAAATGAGAGCCAGGCGGATGCTGAGACACGGTACCTTTGGTTATTTTAATTTATATCTAATGAAAAATTGTTCTCTCCATAGTAGAATAGTTACCTATTCAATTGTTGAGCCTGTTGCATTCTATGCGAGAAAATAATATTCCTCTTGATGCGCATTCAAATTGAGAGTGCCACACAAAGAAAGAAATATGGCCAGTCATTGTACAACATTCTTAATAATGCAGTTGCAGGAAAACCCCTTTGAAATAAGTGTTGATGGCCACTGTTAAAAGAGGAGTATCCCTGAGCTTTCTAGTGTTACTAGGCTACACTTATTTCTCAAATCCAATACATTTGTAAAATGCACCATTTTAGAAATTGAGTTTTTAATAGTGGCATGGTTTATGTGTGTTAGCACTCGCCAATGGCATTGAATTCATAGAGAAGACCGAGGCTAAATGTAACACGGGTTAGGTGTAACAGGTAGGTTACAATGATTTGCTCAATGGGATAAATGCAGATGGGTAACCGTCAGCCTATTTATTTATAGCCACCATGCTGCATCAGGTGGGCTACATCAGGTGATAATGCTGATTGCTAAATAGCACACCTGCCTGATAATATGGACCAATGTTATTGGGCATCATTTTATTTTCATTCATTTTGGAGTAGGATGTTCCTTTTCAAAAGTCATCGGAACTGACTTTCTCAGTAATTCTCCCTCTGCAACCTTTAGTATGCTGTGAATCGTGATGTGCTTTTGCCAGTATATATAACACAAACAAACAAACAAACAAACACACCACAAGTGGAATTTATGGTCTGGATAAATGGTGCATTAAAGGCTATAGGTTACAAATAAAAATGACCTGTAACATTTTTTTATTATAATCCAACATGTTATCTTCTTGTAAAATATTCAGTATTGCAAATAAGAGAAGAACAAGAGTTGCCTTTAGTTTCACCCCTTATATTTTGACCCCTAATGACTGTTGTAAATTATCTGTCACATGCTTTAATGCATCACTAAGGACAAATACAATTTGAGGACTATCTTCATTACCTCACCCTCATCTTACGCAATACATTGGTTTAAAAAGACCGGCTCCCTAGGTAGCTGAAAGTTAGTCACAGTATCCTTCTGCATTCAATCTTGGGACATCTCACCTACCAGCTCAGGAAAAATATCAGATGGCCCTCACCAGAGTCTTGTGCGCATTTCTGTTTGTATGTGTCGCGCTGTGTCAGGCAGGGAAGATTGACTATGTCGGAGGGTTGTCGGATCTCAAGCTCGACCACCAGGATAAACTATCGTGGCTCGAAACATTACAGGAGAAACAGGTAAGGAGCATGGTGTTCTGTACCTTTTTAGGGTTTGTGAAAGTTAGGCGATATAACGTTTATTTTGTGGAACGTGCTTGTGTTGAATGAAATGAGTGGATCTGTCCATGGACCTGAAATTGCTCATTGGTAGTAAACACACAAAATGATAGGCTACTTCACTTTAGATGTTTTCTTTTAGCAGGCTAGCCTACCTATGCTAGGCTATAGACTATTTTAATTAACAAGGAATGCATTTAACATCTTATATATAGGCTATATTCTACACATCAAATATTGCTAACACTGTCCACTGTCTATCTATGCAGACTTAACTTACTTTACAGGATTTGACAATAAGCTTTTTCCTTTCACAGGTATCCACCGACGACAAATACCACCTCGCCTGGCTGCTATACAAGCTTTTAAAGTCACACAGCGACCAGTTCAAATCAAACGTTCTCCCTCATGGCCCGGAGAGTGGTGGGGTACAGGAGAGTAGGCACGAGACTACGCCACAGAAGGACAAGCGCGTTCGCAAAGCCAGATGCAGAGTATTCTTTTGGAAGTCATGGACCGCATGCTGACAGACTTGACAGACTTGTTTAGTCCAAAACAGAAGGTTTTCGAATCGACAGCCTTCATCCCAAATCAGCGTACCAAAGTTTTCACGCAACAATAATGTAACTTATTATTTTTATGAATTGTAACTTATTATCAACTTATTGACGTGGTTGTGAGGCTGTATCTGTCAAACTTGAAAAAATCTGAATTATTGATTCATTGTTTGTCTCCAGAATCTTTCTCTCTCTCTCTCTCTCTCTCTCTCTCTCTCTCTTGCTCTCTCTCTCTCTCTCCCTCCCCTCTCATTTCTTAGAATGGTAAGTAGTATTTCTTACAGATTAGACTGCACTTTAAAGGACCAACCTGCAATTGATACATCCATTTTTTTCTTTTAAATTAATGATGTATAGGCTACCCATTGATTCTTGAATAATATAACTTATAAATGCCTCATGAGCTTAATTCAACTGTCATACCCCATCAGAACCCAAAATATAAGCTTGTTTTACTCCATAGTTTGTAAACAATGTAATTGTAAACAAACACTGTATAGCCTCAAAACATTGTTAAAACTATCATTGTAATATCATGGATGGTCAAGCCTTGTATCCATAGCTCTGTCTGTGAATTTCAGAGTGGTTACATTTCTCCAGCCCCATACCTCAGCTGTTTACCGAAACAGTGGTGGTGTTGGAGCCGTTTATGAAAAAGCCTATGTTTATTATTTTGAAAGAAAGATAATATGTATAGGAAAATATTGACCTTTATGTTTGAAGAAAATATTGTTATAAGAAGGTGAAATGTAGGAAGTATGTACTTACCTGAAATGCCAAATAGGCTTTGATATCCCTGTGACATAGCCTACCTATTGTATAATAAGACTGATGGGGTAGCCTACTACGTGGGCGGGATTGTTAGTCCGGCACAGTTTTCCACCTTAATTGACTGCAGTTAACGAATGCACGGCACGGCCATTTTGTTTGATTTCGAATCATACTTTTCATTTCAGGCTTTTATGGTTCATGTTTTTAATATAAAGCCTACTTTATTTTTGATGGAATTGTCATTTATTAGAACTTTATATCATTTTGGTTTGTATGAACTATATCTCTGCTATCAAACACCTGTTGGACCCGACGCAATCATCACTAAACAGTGAGTAGGCCTAGCCTAACGTGAATAGAATTTAATTGATTATAGAATACGGAACTATTTTCTTTGGGATACACGTGTTTACTCCTGTCCCCGGTTTGACGTGGCTATAGAACTTTTGATTTGGATACGAAGTGGGGTGGCCATTTTTTTAGTGTTCAAACTGCAGATTGCCCCTTTACCTTTAATTAAAATCAAGGAAGGTTTATTCCTTGTATTGGATTTTGATAGCTGGTGTATCATGCGCTCTAGCACCTCATCATCAGCAGGGGGGGCTCTTTGCCTGGTGCACCACTGAATCTACCTGAAATCCATCAAATGTCTGCAGTACCCTAGATTTATTTCAATGATCTATGCAGTACAGTAGTAAATATAAAAACCCATCGTTCTATATGGATATTCACTTGCCCGTGCACTATATGACATTAACTGGACTACAATTTAGTATGCTGCCTGTACTAGGTAGTCTGTGTTTCTGAATATACCTGATACATGTGTGGTCCTCTGTAGCTCAGCTGGTAGAGCAAGGTAGTGGGTTCGATCCCCGGGACCACCCATACATTAAAAAACATTTATGCACGCATGACTGTAAGTCGCTTTGGATAAAAGCGTCTGCTAAATGGCATATTATTATTATTATGTATGTGGAGTCTGCTGAGGGGAGGACGGCTCATAATAATGGCTGGAAAGGAGCGAATGGAATATCATCAAACACATGGAACCCATGTGTTTGATGTATTTGATACCATTCCACCTATTCTGCTCCAGCCATTACCACGAGCCTGTCCTCCCCAGTTAAGGTGCCACCAACCTCCTGTGGTGCGTGAGTGTACCGTCTGTGCACATGCACACGCCTCTGTGTGTGCATGAGTGAGCGTGCATACATGTATGTACTGTATGTAGGGAGCTATGTACTTTACGTCCAGTATGCATGTATTATGCATGTAAAATGTATGTGTATATTTATGTATGTATGTAGTACTGCATGAGCTTGGGTTTGAGAGAAATAAATATGCATTAATTCATATCAAATTGGGCTAAAAGAGAAAGTAGTGAGAGAGTGTGAGAATAGAGGGAGAGATAGAGAGCGCAAGAGAGAGAGAGCAAGAGAGAAAAGGGGAGAGGGGGAAGAGAGAGGGAGAAGAGAGGGAGAGGAAGGAAAAGTAGAAAGAACAATTCTAGTGAATAGAGGAGTGAAAGAACGAGAGAGAGAAGGAATAAGATGGAGAGAGAGTGTGTGAATCATTAAAGCAGCAGTGTAGCAGAGCTTACGCCAAAGCTTGGCTTAGTATCTGTTCTGTCCCTGGGCTAATGGGATTGAGCAGAACAGCGTTGCAATGTAACAGGAAACAGCAGAATTACATGATCATACTGCAGAGTTGGCGTGTGTGTATGTGTGTACATGCATGTGTGTGTTGGAGTATACGTACACCTCCGGATACATAAAAATAAGCCTGACTGACGTAATCCTCGACTATGTGGGACCGGCGTGTGTGAACATGCATGCCTCTGTTGAAGTGTGCGTACAACAGAATATATTTGTGTCTTTGTGGCATGTATATGTGTGTTTTGGATTACATTTATCAGTATTTGTGTGGGTACTTCTATATGTCTGTGTTGCTATGTGTGTGTGTGTGTTTCTTTGGGTGAATACTAAAACACGAGACGGAGAGAATGTTTCATAGCATATAAAGGATGAAATTCTCTGTTTTCTCTGTGGTAACATCTCTCTTTTCTGCCTAGCACAAAACTTCCAAAACTCCTTTCATTTACAGCCAACTTGCTTTTGTCCCTTGCTCCAGGAAATAGAAGAATGAAAGCCTATTATCCAATACTTTCTTCACTTCTGAACAGTAGATTTGGATGAAAAGACATGAGAAACACCTGCGAGCCTATTTAGATCAAAGGCAGACCACTGAAGTCTTAATTGAACGGAGACCAATTATTTTTAATGAGGATGTTGGTTCTACTTCAGCGCTAGGAATTCCCCTTTCTCTCTGGAGAGAGGGTAGGATAAGAAAACAAGGAGGGTTCCCAAGGCTCCAACCCATATGTAAACAACATGGAGGCTGCGTCTCAAATTGCACCCTATTTCCTTTCTAGTGCCCATAGGGCTCTGGTCAAAAGTAGTGCACTATATAGGGAATAGGGTGAAAAAGAGAAGAAAGATAATGAGGCAAACAGAGAGAGATATTAGATCTTTATTAGGCTTTGATGATTTTCTGATGATGACTCACTCTGGTATCAACTCAAATTGGGTGTCATAATTAATGCAATGTATTCAGAAAATCAATGGAGGACGGAAACTGGCTGTCGATCCAGTGTTTCCTCATGGTCACGCAGCAGAGAGGAGGTGCGAAGCAGGGCTGCAGTTCCGATACCTTGCACTGTTCCATGTTTACATGTCGGAGGGTGCAGAGTGTGGCTGAGTGCAGCCCTTGAACTCACTCACCTAGGGTGCCGAGGGAGTCTAAACAACTGTTTTCCACTTACAGAGGAAAGGTTTTCTGTGAGCTGTTTTCTTCCTATTAAAAAAGTTTATCAGGAGGCACGCTGAAAAGGACAACATAGATTCATATAAGGCAATAGAGATGTTGTATTTCTGTGAATCATAATATTAAAGGCACAGTTCACTTAACAATGTTTGTCAGTTACTTTCAGACAACTTTCTCAAGGGTGGTCAAATGTCGAGATGGGTCCCACGATATCATGCTATATGCCTCAATCCCAAATAAACTGGAGCCTTTAGATCAGCGGCTCCCAAACTAGGGGTCGCCACCCCATATGGGGTCGCCTGATATGAAAATGGGGTTGCGGGAGAATTTCCTAAATCGTGATGAAAATAACATATACACAACAACAACAAAATATTGTCTTATAATATCGTCTTTGTATCTCTAAATCATTGTAATGTGGTTAAATCTAAAAACTTAAAATGATCATCTTGGGAAGAGGCCGCACTTGACCGTTGCACTTAAACCATTCCCAGGGTGAATGGCTAGGCCTGCTACGCTATGAAACCACACACTATTGCAGAGACTTTAATATTACTGGACACAATTGATATGGTGAAAACAATGTATGGGGTGGCAGAGGCACAGAAACTCACATCAATACCTTTGTCTGACTAAACAAACAATGTATGCTATTGCGAGCAATCAAGAGGAAACTAACTGAATGACTCAAAAACTCCCCAGCTTATGCTCTCCAAATGGACGTTAGCTGTGAGGGCCAAGATGGCCGTGCATTGACTTTTGTTCGCTATACATGTTGGGGGATGCTATTCACGAGGACATATTGTTCTTTCTCACAATTCCCGAGTATGAAATGGCATAGGGGATGTTCAGTGTGCTGCGTGGCTATATTGACGAAAAACAGATTCCATGGAATCGATTGGTGGACTTTTGCACAAATGGGGCTTCATCTATCACGGGAAGGCGAGCAGGCCTCTGCACTCTAGTTATGAATGTCTCCCTCTGCCATATGGACGCATTGTATGATACACCCAGAGCAACTGGCGGCAAAAGCGCTGAGCACAAAACTCGGGAGATATGCTGCAGCAGGTAACTTCGATTGTAAACTACATCAAACAACATCTACAGGACGCACGCCTGTTCGCAAAACTATGTGGAGATATTGGATCAGAGCATGACAATGTTCTATTTCACATAGAGGCTTGGTGGTTATCGAGGGGGAGTGTTGGAAAGATGTGTTGCATTGAGAGAGGAACTGTTGTTATCCACAATGGATGTAAAAAATCTGACTTCGTTGACTTTCTGTGTAATGAAAAGAAAATTATAGAAAACACCATCAGTACTGAAACAGGGCCCAAGTGGTAAATATAAAGATCCAGTCCATTAAAAAAATTGGA